GTTTCCAGTCTTACATTTCTTACAATGAGAATTGGCCAAAGCCTCTAGACCAAGATGTAGGTTTGAACTCCAGAGATAGTATGAAACCACCAGCCTGCCCTGAACCATGAAGGTGTCATTTAAACACAACAGGAAAAAAACAAGCAACGCAGCAAGAGACTTTCATCTTTTCATTGTCATAAGCAATTGTCATTAGCAATGCTAACCAAAAAGCAGCACATTTTAAATATTCATAAACCATCATGAAGTCTTTGCATCCATGCCCATCTCATGACTGCAGCATCCACTTCTGCCAAGCTTTCTGCTTGCTGCCCAATTGAAGGATTTCCTATTTCATCACCAGAGGGCACCCTTTGCCACACTACTGATGAAGTTACACCGCACTTCTTAAAAATAGATAACGCTCAGTTAAAAGAAGCTAGGAAGCATTTGAGAAGAAGTTCATCATTGTTGAAGAACTGCTGACTATGAAAATATCTGTACTGGCCTTGACCAGGGAACGAGATAAGGGCACCTTTGCACAGTGGATTCCTCTTCCTTGAGGCTCACTGATAACTGAGTAATCCGGAAGAATGTAGCTGAATTGCTGAGGCTAATAATATTTGTTTAACAACTTGCATGCAAACTACTGACAGTCATCGTGGCACTACGTTACCTGGGTTACTTGCTGATCAGAATTATTAAGTAATGGAAAAAGGAGGAAAAGTAATCATAGTGCACCAAACTTTTGAATTTATGCACAAAGGAGTGTGGGGTAGACGTTTTAGCAGTAAGTAAAATTCTTGTTTTGAACGGGACAGAACAGCCAGCCTGACACACAGGGAACCTCAGTAATTTCATGCAGACTGGATTCAGTCAAAGCTGTGATTAGCAAAGTGTGACTGTGTTTCAGGTACAACCCTCTCTCCACGATTTTTACTCAAATACTGGGACAATGTGAGGAAGTATTGCCTTCCTTGCTCCAAAGTTGGTCCTCACTTTTCAAGACTAAGGTCACACCTTCATCTTGGAAAGGAAATGACCTGGGATTGATCTGTGTGTCCTTCAACAGTCCCAATGGTAATCTACAGGTCATTTGCAATCTGAGAGCACCTGAGCTTCCTTCTTTCTCCACACTACTCGTTAAGCTATCTCTGAACAGACACCTGTGGTTCCCAAGGACACAGTGATGGAGCAGGGAGAAGAATTTCTATCTTTATTTGACAAAGTCAGAGCTGAAGTCTTGAGAGATTTAAGCCCCTTGGTGATTTCTGAATTCCCTCTGTTGAGCTGTGCGTAGGTTTGAGCATAAACAACTCTGACAGTTCAACAATTTGACTTAAAATAATAGAAAATATGGGAAAAGAGAGAAAATTTAAGCCAGTCTCCTCAGCTTCATAAACTCATCCTCTCTTCCCATTTTTCACAGGGTGGCACAACATTGGCCCCTTGTATCTCTGAGTTCTCTAGCTCATTTATTTTTCTTTCTGGCACGAATGGGAGCATTAGTGATCGAGCTCATACCTCATGAACTAGGGCTAAACCATGAGTTACAGGCACACACACCTGAGTATGTCTGCAATGGAACACATGGTTTAATTTCTCACTGCTGAAGTGACCACACGCTCGTGCTCTGATCAATGGTTTCAATGGCTGTGGTGCTTTTTAAGTGTGGGAGATCTTTTGAGATGAAAAGCCAAAGGAAATGGATTTACACCACATTACAATCAACATATTTTGTGTGTGGTGAAGTTTTAAGAAGAGAGGGGAGGCACTACTAAAAATGCAGTGTGAGCAAAATAAGATTATATATAAATAAGAATTCCTTCCAGAGATGAAAAGCAAAGGGGAGGTTTTGCACAAAGCAGACATGATGGAAATTGAATTAATGACAAAAAATTCATGTTGTGAAAAGCTTAAAAAAAAGTGATTTAAAATTAGATCCAGCTCTCTGCTCACTATCACATTTCAAATTCCCTTGGAAATCTGGATAACCTGGGGCTCAATAAAAGGCTTGTTTATGAGAATGGGATTCTCTGATCTGTGGTGCAGTAAAGGAACCTCAAAGTGAAATATAATGCTGAAAAGAGGAAAACGTCTTTTCATAAAGACCTCATGAAAATTCCACGTGGCAAGAAAAAAAGTGATATTTTCTGCTTCATACATCAAAGTTCTAATTCTCTGCATCCTTTGAAACACACTTGTCTCCTTCTCACAAGATCAAAAAACTTTATGGGAAAAGATTGTGCCTCTTGAAAGTAAGCAGATAAAAAGTGTGAGCTTTGCTCAAAAGGAGAATGTTACAGTTTTAAAATGGAAAATCTGAGTGCAAATTGAAGTTCAGAGACAAATACTAATCCTTAAGGCTCTGAGCATCTCTGTATTTGCAGATGTGGGTTGTGACTTTTGATACACTAGGACTTAGGGCTGGATGGTGTGACCTAGGACAGAGCTCCTGAAATAAGGTGAATACACAAAAGTCAATGATAAGCTGTGGCTGACTTCACATAGACAACACCTCACTGATGCACAGCAGCTGAGAAGTGGCAAATGTAACTTCAAAGCTTATCTGAGGTAGTTTTCAGAGCCACAGCCATTACCTTCACTGAGCTGCAGGCCAGCAACGTCAAAAGTCAAAATGAATTAAATTAGCAGACTATGAGGCATAGCTGCTTAATAATCTAGTTAGTACCTGTGGACGTAAATTACAAAATCACAGCATGGCTTGGGTTGGAAGGGACCTTGAAGCCTACCAGGCCCCGAACACCTGCCATGGGCCAGGTTGCCCCCCAGCAGCTCAGGCTGTCCTTGTGCACCTCCAGGGATGGGATATGTATAGCTTCTCTGGGTAGCCTGCATCATGGTCTCACCACTATCTGAGTAAAGAATTGCTTCTAATCTAAACCCTCCCCCTTTCAGCTTAAAACCATTAACTCTTGTCCTATCACTACATGAACTTATAAAAAAGTCCATTTCCAGGTAGACTGCTTGACATACTGCCCTGCTAAAGAGAAACTGGGAAAAAGAGCATAGATTCACCCCAAATGGACCCAAAAACGCTCCCAGCAGTGTATGATTACATCTCTTTAGTGCCAAAAGCTTACGTTAGTGTTGTTTGTGAGCAGATTCCCATAGCCAAAAGGAAGAGCAACAGGAATGCACCAGCACTTACCTTGAGCTATGTTCTCCATGGAACGTGGCCAACACAGGACAGACAACACTATCCCTCACCCACCACTCTTGCTCAGCCAGACTGGGGGAAAGCCAGCAATGGATCCAGCTGGGACCTCCTAAGAACAGCATCTTTGGAGGCTTCCATTTCCTCCCTTGCTTTGCAGCACTGTGCAGTAATGCTAAAGCAATTGCTTTTCTTCTTAGTTTTAATAGAACAAGCTTGGGTTTTGTCCACCAAGGAAGCAACTAAGCTGGCCTTGCTCTTGTGATAAACTGCAAGGTGTCAACACAGCTTATGCACTGCTTTTTTAGGCTAGAAGAGGCCACAGATACTTGGTAAAGACAATATACAGAAACACACAAACATCTTTGGGCCTTGGATCAGATCCATCAGACCCAATGACCTCTGTGGCTTATTGCTGTTGTACTAGCTAACTTTTAACTAGGTTCACAGTGCTCACTCCCCAGCCACTGTGTACTTTGCACTATAAACACAATCTCTGTTTGGACAGCTTCCAAATGAGCACCTGAGATGGATGCACATGAACACAGAAGCAATGAAAACTTTAAAATTCTTGGAAAGACCTGAATACAAGAGAACAAATGAGTTATCATGTAAAAAGTGATTTTATTTTATATTTTATCCAGAGTTCATAGTGAAAGTTTCCTATTACTGAAAGGAAACAAATACAAACTAGGCAAGCTTATACATCAGTAGTGAAACGCGTCTTTCACAGTGCTGCTGTGATCTGTCCTTGAACCTGACCATGGTCTTTGCCTTTTTATCTTTGCAACAACAGTGACAATGGTATTGTTTAGAGAGCATTAGGAGGAAAATTGGAAAAGGACAAGATGGCCACAGATATAAAATAAATTAAAAGTATCTGTAAAAGTTTCTTTCCATATACAAAATAATTTTTTTTTTTTTTTTTTTTTTGCTATTTTTCTTTAATTGACATCATCTGTACAAACATTAGCTTTTAAAAAGAAACCATTTACAAAGGCTGTTTTTACAAGGAGGAATAGGTCTCTCAATAAAAAGTCCAAACTTTTGCAAACTTCTATGCATCTCCTCAGAGATGAACATCCAAAGCTTTTGGACCAGTCCTGCACCAGAGGAGAGCGATTCATGACCCCATGGGCATGTGGCACCTCACAAAACGTGCTCTGCCTCTGCGTAAAAGTAAAGCCATAAAAATAATGCACAGGCATTAGATGCTATATAATTAGATGGGAAGCAGAGCCATTCATCAATTTACAGTATTTCAAAAAACAGAATATGTGGCAAAAGCCCATCATGCTGATTTAAAACTAGAATGGTGATTAATAACATTGGTTGGATTTTTTTTTTTTAAGTCCTTACTCATACAACATTATATACAGAAATCATTGTTTATGTGATTAACATCTTACAGATTCTAAAAATGGCTTTATTTAGAAAGCTGCATGTAAAAACACAGATACAAAAACAAGTCCTGTGCATAAATCATCTCACACACAGAGTTAACACTCAGCATAGGGCTGGAAGAGGCAGATCAGATTTTACTTGGAGGTTGCACCTGTTCTGCATTCCATAATTATTGACAAAGAGTGGGTGTATCCCAGTGACATCCAAGCAGAACATCTTTGTGCTCCTTTTCAGGTGATGCTGTTAAAGCCTTAGATTACTAACATACAGCAATTGGGTCTGATAGCTGTGCTTTACTCTTGCTTAATTACAGCCAATAAGAAGGTCTCAGGCTGCATTATTAGGATATTCTCCTCAAGCAGGATAATGGAAGGGCTTTGAGCCTGACTTGCAACTAGGACTAATCTTTGCTGTTACTTTTTTCTTTCTCTTCTCTTCTTTTTGTTTTGTTTTGAAGTGAAACTGCCATCAGCTTCCACTGAGATTTGTGCAGTAAAAAATGATTGCTGAAAGGATCCTGGGTTATGTGACCCATGTCCACACCTCTCACACCCATGCACATGACTCAGATTGGTAAACACGATAGCACCAGTGACCAAACACAAGAATCAATCATCAAGTGTTTAAATTACCTTCACATAGCTATGAAGCTGCAAGGAGGCATTCACATGGGAAAGCTGATCACTTTCAAAACACGGAAGAATCACTGACTCCAAAGTAGAGAACTGAACTCTCCTGACCATGGAGAATTAATTCATTCCTTATGAACATTCTCCCTTTAAGCACACTACAGTCAGTTATGCAGATAGTTTACCCAAAAGATAAATGTTTACTCTTTGCATGAACTAAAACGTGGTTCTTGCCAGCCAGAAGTGCTTTAAGAAGCTTCACTCCCTATGGAGGACACTACTGGAAACTTAAAACTTGAAGTGTTCCTCTGACATCCACTCAAAAACAGAACCAACTTTTTGCAGAGGTGCCTATGATTCATTAGATACTTCTTTCCCTGCTTTTAGTTTCTCACATTATTTTTTCCCATGGAAAGCATGTTTTGTATTTTTGTTGTGCAAAACTTGCTGGTAAGAAACCTTAAATTTAAGAATCTATGATTCTAAATTGACAGCACAGGTACAACACATTTCCAGAGCAGAAGCAATGAGAAAAAGAAAAGCTGCTATTTGATTAATGCAACATCAAAACTCACCAACCAGAGCTAATTCTGATAAAATAACTGTCATTAAGGTATACAGATAAGAGTTACGAACCGAATAATTTCATGTTAGGAATTAACTACCATAACTTACTCATAGATTATTTGCAGATATGCTCTAGAATATCTCTTATGAACACGTCACTACGTGCTACACTTTCATACCCTTTACCTGCTGTGTTTCTGCAGTGGCATGGAAGAGAAGTCTTTCTGAGATACCACAATTTCCCATGCAGCAGAGATATGTTTTGCCTTCTTCAGCCAAGGGCAGGGACATCTTGTAAACTGAGTTATGAAGAATATGTTATTGAAAATGAATGCATGCATGCAGTCAGTGACATGTCATACCAAGGAAACAGATATCTGAGTTGTGTTATCTAAGGCTCTTGGAATGTCAGATTTGTTTATTTATTTATTTCTTGCTGCATTACTCAGTAAACTATGATGGAAAGTTTAGGTTTAAAATGAATAGAAGTAGACTTCTTATCTCCCTCCCCATCAGTCACCAGAAGAACGGAGATAAAATTTAACAGCTACTGTTTCCAAAATCATGTACAAAAATAGAACAGTGTGTCCTTCTGACAGTCCCAAAAATTTTGAAATCTTCTGTAAATTTCTGTTTCATCTCAGTTTCAATAGCAACAGTCAGTCCTCGTTGCCGTGACTTAACGCCTTGATCAAATTTAAAGATGAACGAAGTTCATGTTTCCATCCCTTGGAAATGCAATTCAGAATCCACTCCATTTTCACCTTTTTTGTTTGGATTTACTTCTTTCCCTCCCCCACCCGGAAGAAAATGCCTTGGCAGTGCAAACAAAAAGTAGAAATCATGAAAAGAACACCAATGAACAGCGAGCGATCACCTTAGTGCTTCTAAAGGGTCTTCTGAGACGTTATCTGCACGCGCAGGATTCTACTGTCATGTTGGGGTACACCTTGAGAACCACATTCTTATTTTCATCAAAGAATAAGATGCTGAGAGAAGACATTTTGTCAGGAACGCAGCACGGCTCAGGAATTCCAGGGACAACGCCAACAGCTCTCACTATGCTCTGGATGGTGGCATGGTTGGATGGCTTCAAGGCCTGCAAGAGCAAGATAAAGCAGAAAATAGAACTGCATAAATGTTAAATATGTACATGTAGAATAAAATTTGTTTCCTATAGAAAGGACCTGTGGACGATTGGTTGCAGAGTCTGGCGTGCGCAACCATCTCCAGTTGTCACCATAGGTGGGAATGCAATGCCGGTGCGGTTCTGCTGGCCACTGGATGTCACTGCTGCTCCACTGCTTTCAGCTGGAGCATCCCGCTGGGGACATGCCTTCCCAAGAGAATGCCCAGGCAGCAGACCTTGCACCAAGGTGCATCTACGGGTCAAGGCAATCTCTTCTGCTGTGAATTCAGTTTCAAGCGGGCTGCAATTTCGTCATAAAACTTGAACAGCTAGGAGTGAGGCAATCAACATGCTAGCAGCACGATTCATTGGGGGAGCAAAATAAATATAACTTCTGTGCTGGGAAATTAGTGTGAGTGCATCAAGAAAAGCAGAAGTGGATAGAACATATACAGTGGACAGTTCAGAAATATGTTATGTCACGATGCTAATTGCTCCAGTTTTCTGTCTTCCAAGGCTGGGTGGTTTTGCTCATTCTTCCAAGCCAGATCACTGACATACATAAATCTGTAATATACATCAGCAACACTGCTGAATAACTGAGCCCCCAAAGCCCACGTCAGTTGTACCTCATCTTACAGTGACATTTTGCTCCAAAAGACAAAGCTTCCTGGATTAATACTCATGTAAATTGGAAAACATCGTTGGTTTAATATACATGAAAAGTGACTCTGACTAGTGGGTTAACTATCTTTGTTTAAAAAACAAACAAACAAACAAAAATCACACATACAAAAAAAAAAATCAGAATTTGAATATATTCATAAAATGAGAAGTCAATATATTCTGAAAAGTGAAAAATGAACATGTTAAATTTTACCTCCCAAGCACTTTCAATTCCAAGTATCTGTAGTAACAACACGTGAGCATGAAACATACTTGAGACAGTTTTTAGCCAACGAGTTTTGTTTCTGTAGGAGTGAAATGTTAATGATGCACTTGAGAGCTCATCTTACACACATGCCTGGGAATCCTCTGGTTAAAAAATATGCTCAGTCAGATGTCACTGAGAAGTACATGCAATGAGATCAGCTGGGCCACATTTTTAGTTTTGCTGGGATAAGAGATGATTTGTCTTGGGATCAGCGCTGAGGGTCAGATATCTGTCTACCTCATCCTCAAGTCCTGATGACCTTGTATGCAAGAAGTACGGCTGTAGATATCCCAGCATGGTTACAAAGACATTACTTTCAACCTAGCCAGTAGATCTCACAAAAGGCATTTTTATTCATTTGTTGTCTTTTAATTCAAGAATACCAATATTCCTTAGCAATATAAGGATTTTTAAAGTGTCTTAGGCCAGTACACAACTCAAATTTTTGTATAATTTCTTTTTGAAAAAGATGTAAAAGCAGCCAGGCTCGCTCCTTTAGTCAAGTCCAGTGCAGCATTCTCCACAAAATCATTGGGAACCACACAAACACCCTACGTGTGCTGATCAGATGCAAAGAAGTAAAATATCTAAATGAGTTTGAGATATTTCCCGTTGTTAATGGTACTGGAATTAAAATCAAGTTTCAGTAAATGCCACGTTAAGGACTCATCAGAAACCATTCATTTCAGATAAGGAATCTATACCATCAAAAACGTTTTGGTTTCCTAAGGAGTGCACATTTTGGTTTTCCTTCTGGCTTGCCACTGGACCAGTCTGAAATTACCAGGGATAATTATAGGGTTCTGAGGAGGAGCCTGATAGTTCACTGGCTCATGGCACTATGCCCCTTGGTAGTGGCTGAGGTTTTGATGCGGATTATCAAACAATTCAACTCTGTGGGTGGAGTTTTAAACTCTTTAAATCTAGTCTTTTCAGGCTTGGCCCAAAAACATGTTATATTCCAAGCATTCTTCAGAGCAAGTGTGGTTCTTTTACATACAGAACTGATTTCAAGAATTGCCTAGACATTCAGATATCAGCCTGGATGCATTCAGCCACTGTATGAAAAGAGAGCTAAGCAAGAAGTCTCTATCTGATACAGGTATACCTTACAGACAGAACATCTCCTGTGCTGACTTCACATCTGCCATGCACACTGCTCTTAGAATGCACTCCTGAAGATAACCAGCTCTGGCACAACCCTCTTTTTGTAAGCAGGGAATGTAACAGTAACAGCAAGAAAACCCAAAGGCAGGTGCTTTTGGGAGAACTGAAATCCCCCTCTGGGTACTGAGGCATCACGTCCTACACCTGGAGAGGTGGCTGGGTCACTGCCTTCATGCTCTGTCCAGAACATGCTAATGAAAAGCAGAAAAGTAGGAGGTGAGGCCAAGAAGAGTAGTGGGAGGGAACAGCACTGAGTGGACTGCAAGCTGCCAAATCTGTGAATGAGTCCAGCTGTGGCCAGGGCTGCACCTGCTGAGCTGTGTGCATCCTTGGGAGACTTGCTGCCCTGTTGAGTTTCATTAGAGATATATTAGGAGTGGGGCAAATGATGTCAGTTATGGGCTTTCATTCCTGACTTGGGAGAAGGTCTGCCTGGCTGTGTGCTCTACAGTGCTCTGTAAGCCCAACACACATGAGTATAACAGCAGTCAAAGCAGCTAATTGAAATCAGGGGAAAGGTAGGGCCAGAAAACTTGGAGGTGGAGAAGGAGGGAGGGGGGACAAGGCACATCTGTTCCTAATTACCCAACAGGTTGTCAGCTTTAGGAGCTCGCCCTCAGCAAGGGAACATTATATACCCAGAGGCACAGATTAGTTTGTTATTGCCTGATGGTTAAGGTATCATTTTGCAAACACAGGCTTATGTGTAGCACCAGATATTATATGGCTCAGATATATATGGCTCAGGAATAACACATGGTTCCAGAAGACACTTGCTTTACCTTTATGTAGAACTCAGGTTTTCATTCTCCTTGGAAAACAAGGTTATTTTGTTTGATGTGGACAGAACGAACAATCTGAATCTCAGTATGGACTGATATCTTCCCATTGCTTGCAGGGTACCATACCCACCATAAAGTCTCAGTTCCCTGCTCTCCTAACAAGTTATCTCTTTGCAGTACATTGCAGCAAGTATTCATCTTCACAGCATCTACGTAACTATAGTGCTCTAATTTGTATTCTTCACCCAACCAATACTAGGCTATTATTTGCACAAAAATGATTTTGTTGTGATCAAGCATGCATGTGTGATGTACTGTTTTCTCCTAAGTGGAATAACATTCTACTGGTTGGAATGAAGTTTTTATAACAAAACCTGCAATAGGAAATGCTAACCCACTCTTAAGTAGAAGGTCACAGTGGGTATTTGAATCATCTGTCTGCCCTTTAAGCTAGAATGAAAGTTCAGGCCCACTGCTTTTAAAATTTTTAACCCATTTGGTGCACAGTGCATATTTCCCATCAGCAATAAAGGTATAATGCAATTCATGCAAAGGTAATGACTTTATCTCTTGCTAATCCCTTCCATTTTCTTTTCCTTTGATCCAAAACTATAAGGCCTGTCTGACAAAAGAGATTCATTCTTTCTTCAGCTTGCTTTCCTTGGATCCATCTCCTTTGGTACAATTCTCCACCTGTCATTTTCAAAGGGTGACTCTTGAGTCCTTCAGCCCCAATATGACAGTAATGCTTCCCGAGATGCACATTTTCCTAGTGGGTGCTCTATCAACTGACCCCACTGTGGGTCTTGCAGCAAAGACTTCTTCATGGCATGACCTAATAAGTAATTTTCTGAGTCTGGCCTATATTATGTTTATTAAACAGGTTCATAACAAGTTCACACATCATTAGCACTATCCAGGAAATACTTTATCGTGATTTGGGCTCTGGACAAAAAAATAATATCATGTAATACTTTTTTAATTATCTTTACAAGCCTGTTTTTTTACTAGCTGTTTTAACCACTACTCTGTGCAGTACAAGACAAAGACACCACTTATTTACCATATCCCCACATATAATAGGTGACCACCTGCATTTCACTGATGTAAGGAAAAAAAAGTGCATTGCTTACAGTAACAGTACAAAAAGATCAACAAACACAGTACCTTTGGAATTGGGAACTGACATTCCCCTGAGCAGTAATAGGCATCAAAGGATTTCGGGGAAATAATCCACTCGCTCCAGCCAATGTCAGCAAAATCCACTTTGAGATAGCGTCGGGCACAATACCGGGGCTCATTCCACTGCTTCCTCCTCGCCTTCTTCAAGGTCTGCTCATCAAACTGGAGAGTCTGGCTCTTCTGGTGGTGGTTCTTCCTCTGCTTTTTCTTACTCTTTGCCCTCTCTGCCAGACGAGGATGGAAAGTTTTGTATGGTTTTCTGTCTTCCCACCTCTCATCCTCATTGTACTGGTACTCTGCTCCTGGAAGCTCATTGTTCTGCAATGGCAACAGGACATTGGTGGAGCGTTTTCGCCGCCGCTTTCCAAGGCTGCTCCTCATGTGGTTTTCTGGCCCAGGGAAGACCCTTGCCAACGGATTGTGGTGCCCTTGCAAACTAGAAACAACACTCTCTGGCTCTGAAATGGCAGAATCATTGGCGTATATGAGAATGTAGGGCTCATAGTGAAATAGTGCCCTTTTCCACAGGGGACGGCTGGTTGAATCCATTCTGACACCAATCAGAAGTTCATTGCTCTGTTTTGCTTTGTGTAGGACCTGAGTGATATCTTTCCACTGCCAGGAAAGGACATTGCCATAAGAGCTGGAGATGTTTATTAAGAAATGGCCCAGACTCCGAGTCTGGTTCCCAACAGATGGAAAGGTCCACACCGAAAGATGTATTTGAATTTCAGGTTTCCTGTGCCCACGACGAGAACAGCCTCCGGACTGGGAACAATTCCAGTCAGAGTCCAGCAGATCACCGATATAATAATGCAACGAAGCTGACAAGATATTTTCTGACTTGGTGAGTGAAGTCAAGTTAAAAACATACAGCTCCTGACTTCCAGGGCTCCCTAGAAGAATAAATATTTAGATAAGAATATGGGCAATTCAAAATGTCACGGAAACCAAAAGGATCAAATGTATTGCTTTCTACGTTATAAATTAAGTTTCTAAGAAACTTTCATGCAGTGCTGTGGGAACAGGTTTAGGTTACTAGTCAGAATCATGACAAACATGGTAAACTGATGATTTTAAAATCACATATTTACTATCTGGTTTCCTCATAACGCATATCTCAGTCTAAAAAAACTCATATACATTTGCTACCACTCCTCTGATTCCAGGAAACAAACTAGGTCATAGGAACACAGCTTGATAATAGATGCACTATAGACTGTATCTATAATACAGAAACTTGCGTTTCATAGTAAGGTTTTGAGCTTTTTCTCTCTTTTTTTTTTTTTTTTCTTTCTTTAATTTTAAATACATTTTCCCCTTTCCCATATGTTCCTTGAGTAATCGTGACTGCTCTAGCCTGCCAACAGGTTTGTTTTACTTTGTCCAAGACAAATGGGATATTAACAGCACTGAACCACACCCTAGTCCAGATACAGCCGATGCTGGAGAAAGGCTTCCACTGGCTTCATCAGGCATTCGATTGTCTGTACACCTCCACCATACTGATGAGCCACAGGCCCCTTGTTAGAAATAAGGAAGTGAACCTTGTCCTAGTGATATCTCAAAAGCTGATTATTTGACATTTTTGTCTGGCTGAAGAATTTTGCTCAAGGTTGATGCTTCACTTTAAGTTCCAGATGTCCTGCCTATCTCAGAAAAACAACCTTCCTGAGATGGGATGTTTCTCTTCAAACATCCAAGACGGCCATAAATAAGAAATAGCAAGACCAGACATCCTTGAGATGAGGCACAAGTCCAAAAAGGTAACCAATCAGAAAGGACTAGGCATCTTTGTGCCCAAATATGGATAAAGTGAGGAGTGGGACATCTCCCTAAATGACCACCAAGGACCATCAAACACCCCCATGCAAGCACAGAAAGTTCAAATATGTTATGTAACCTTGTACTTATGTAAGACAAATATGTAATAGGTAGGTGTGACTGATCTATTAGGCAGACGTATAGTCAAAGGATTTTGGATTATAAATAGAAGCCAGGGTAAATGATTTGGCATGCTTCATTTTGGGTATTTCCCATCTTGTGCAGAATAAATCAGTGTCTCCTCTCTAAACACTTGTCTTTTTGAATATGTTGCCACAGCTTTAAAGTATATTTTTACATATGCCATTTGACCTCTGATTGCCAGACTGTTTATTGCAAATATCTCTAGCTGGTTCCTCTACACCCTTTGCTCTGCGCCTCTGTGATCTGGGCACCATCTACAAGACTGGGACTTTGGGGCCTGTGGGTGCAGCTTCCAAACAGTGAGTCTATTAAACAGGGAGTTAGATATATCAAATGTTGAATATATTTATATGTACTTGTCAGGATGCAAACTGGGCAAGCAGTAAAGAAAGCACAGCATACTTGTACTTCAAAAGCTAAACCAAAAGACAAGCTGAAAAAAAGGATACCTCCTCTCAAGGTTTACAATGTCTCTGTTAGACTGAGATCAACTTAGTAGCTCCTCAAGTGCCCAGTCACCTTTGCATACACAAATTCATGACCCAGAGCCCTTCACAACAGAAAGGGCAGAGTCGGGAATGGAACAAGTTGACAACAATCTTGCACATGGAGAAGGAATGTCCCTTGCCTTGAAAGACACAGGGAAGAGAAACATCAGGCTAGAATAACTGTTTAATAATATTTAAGGCTTGGATGTCAGCCTTAGATAGACATTTGTAATAAACTAAAAACACACAAGCTTGCCTGACAGTCTTTTGGCTAGGTCAGATACTAATCACAAAGGAAGTTTCTCTCTAGAGTAATCAGGACCAGGACTGCTTCAATTACACAGGATAAATTCAATCATTCTACCTAAAGCAGTTCATCACATTTCAAGACAGCCAATTAGGAAGTATTTACTAAAGCAGCTGCAGATAGGCAGATAGCACTAAAGCAACCCTCATATCCAAAAGAAAGCCAAGCCCAAATGACCTTTTAGGGCAGCAAGAATGGGGACAGGTGGTGGCAAAATGCACCCATTTTCCTCTGTGCAGACAGAAATAAGTCAAGGAAGGACAATGTTTCTTCATGATCAGGATGCTGCTACATCAGTAGGGGGGATGTGGTGGAACATGAGGTTTCCACAGCTGTGAAATTAGAAAAGTCAACTTAACCACAGGTATCTTGCACAAACCCAGTGATGCACTCCTAACCTAGGCTGATCTGTAGGAACATTTGGCTAACTGTGTTAATCCCCTGTAGGTTGTGAGAGAAAGTCTTGGAGGTGAGACATAATTTTTGTTTTAAAACATCCTGATTGAACTGCAGTTACAGCTGTCCTTCAGAGTGGGAGAAACACAGGGCCAAATGTTCAGGTGCTATCGAGAGCTGTAAAAAATATATGTATTGATAGCTTTATGTTTTGAATGACATTCTGGGTGACATTCTGTGCTTTTGGATGCTGATGCTGCAACTGCTAATGTCATTCAGACCAAGTCAGTCAGAAGACAAGATTTTCTCTGCCTTCCCATCTCAATCACCCAAATGACCTTTTTTTTTTTCCTAAGAATATTTCTAATTAATATTCTAAACAATGTACTAAAAAAAGACGAATCAGCCTCACTAGAAAGACAGAGACCTCCTCCCCAGTGTATCACATGCATAGTTCAGGAAATTTGGGAATAAACAAACAAACAAACAGATCAACGAAACATAGACTTGTCTTGGTGAAATGGGAAAAGAAAAAGCAAAATTGTTTATAAAAGATATTGCTGTTAATACATTCAGCCCAACTGGATGGTAAAACACATAAGGTCCTGGTAGGTATGTTCTCAATATCTGAAACAATATAATCCAACTTCTAGCTATTAGTTATATCTGGGATCTTCCTTGATTTTGAATCTATTTTTAATTCCTGAAGGCTGAAACTGGCTACTTACTACCTTTGCAATAAGCACATGCTTCACCTGATCTCTGCTTGGTTTGTAATCACCAATATAATAAGGTTAATATGTAATTTGGCAGAGCACTGAGTACATCAGCCTTAGGAACCAGAATTTATGATGTCTCATGCATGCTTGCTAAAGAAGTTATTACTTGAATCACTGCTTTATGTTGAATGACAAGTTTTTTATTTTAATTCTTTAATAAGAATTCAATTTAACCAATGCTGCTGTTTCTAAAGTGGCATATTGTGGTAGAACACAAAATAAGCTGCTTTTGTTTGTAAGGAAACTCTAGCTGGCGTGAAGCAGACACAGGAGGAATATATACTTTTGATTAAAAGTAAAACCCAAGAAGCCACTCTCAATACTTAACTCCACACTAAAGCATACTTGCAGTAGGTGGAGCTATTTTCTCACCGAACACCTTCTGAGCTCCCTAAGAGACTTCAACCACCCCTGAGAGACTTCATTCATTCACAAAATCACGTTCAAATAGATGATTGGCATCCAGCACGGATACCTGTGGCTTAGCCAGGTTCCAGCTCAGAAAAACCCAACTGTGCGACCTGGGCTTCTGTCACAGCTTAGGAACACTGTGTCATGTGCATCCTCTGCGTGAGGGATACCTTCTAGTTCTTACTTGAAGGGAGTTTTGCCATCCTAGCTTTGCTCTTTTACAGTACAAAAGCCTTCTCAGCAACCAAGTCCATAAGGAGAAGATATAAGAGGAAACCAGCAAAGGAAAAACATACTGAAGGAAAAAAAATTCCATGCAAGGAATATATTTCTACCTTCCACACAGAATCACAGAATCATTTGAGTTGGAAGGGACCACTAAAGGTTATCTAATCCAACTCCCCTGCAATGAACAAATACTCTGAGGCCAGATTTTAATGGCATTTCTCACTCCCAGTAAAGGTACAACCATAGGAAGAGACCTGAAGACCAGACTCTGCAGGACAGAGTTTTCTTGGCCTGTACTACGTAAGACACGGCACCCATGCACTTTTGGCATTGCTTATGTGTACCATGTTGAGCTTTGGAACAGCAGCCATAAGCTGGGTAGTGAAGGTACTTCTAGGGAGAATGCTTTCTTGCTTGTATTCATGTGGACGAGAGGTAACGGCATTATGTTGTGCCAGGGGAGGCTCAGGAACAGGCTGCCTAGGGAGCTGGTGGAGTCACTGTCCTCGGAGGTGTTCAAGAACTGTGGAGATGTGACACTGAGGGATATGGTTTATCAGGCATGGGTTTGTGGTTGGATTTGGTGATCTTACAGGCCTTTTCCAACCCAAATGATTCTATCATTCAAAGGCAGAGTTCACTGTGGCAAGGGAAGGGTGGAGGTACAGCCTTTCCAGGTCCAAAGCTGAAATGTCTCAACAAGTCACCTACATGGTTGTCACCAAGGCACAAAGTTGGGACGTACTGTCACTCACCAGTTGGGCTCTCAGGGCTGCCAATACATTTCCTGATGGCTCAGGCCAGCAAGTGGCCCAGCTCCAACACTACAACTTAAGTTTGTACCCACTCAACCTTCACAGCACAGCCTGTGCTTCCTCACTTCCTGCAATAACCCACAGCTGTTTGTATTGCCTGTTCCTAGCATTAAAAAGGCATTTCAAGAAAAAGTAGTACATCTGTGGAGACTGACATCACCAGCAGGAACGTATTTATGTTACAAGGGGCATTTCTAGGCATCAATAAGCTGGAACAACTCCACCAACATGTGGTGTGTTTACCTTTATGGAGGATGCACTGACATTTTTATGGACTGCCAAATCTATCCCATGGGTGAAAAAGGATGCAATAATGAGGGCTGTTTAGTTATACAGTCATCATTAGCCATCATTTAAATGAGATATTAAAGTGGTGCCCTTGTGCCAATGCACAGTTAAGAACATATCAGTGTTTTAGAGCTCACTGAGAGTTGGAAATGGGAACAAGTTTCAGAATAGGAACACAGATTTGGAAGCCAGATTTCTACTTTCCTCCCACCTTTGTTGTTACTTGATTGCACCTTCCCCCATTACTGATTTGAGTATTCTGCAAACCAAAGTACAGGATCCTGCTCAGGTTCCTGTGCGTGCGTGGGCATTCTGTACCGCAACAAAGGAAAGAAAAGCATTTTAAGGAGGAGGAGAGCATAGCTCTTAAACCACAGGAATTGGCCCAAGGGCAGGTGTAATGCCTAAAATTGCTTGAAATTCAGTCAATAAAAAAGAGTTTAAAGTAATTTCTGTCTGTATAGCTTTACTATAACATCATTAGAGAGACCCTCCAATTAAAGTCGTAGCTTTTTAAATGACTCATTTGCAAGACATGTTCCTTTAGCGATGCTATGATTAAACGTACTTACAAAAGCCAACTGCAAGCCTTGTGCTCTCTTCTTTTATATTTCCACCCTCTGCTATTTATCCCATGTCGCGTCTTTTCCCCACGTCCAGAGCCTCAGCTACTGGAGGTCAGCATCTTTCTATCAAGCTGAGGTCTGGGCATTCAGGGGTTTTGCTATCTGGCAGGATAAAAGATGATCTGTGTGCAGAAGTGGATGCAGAGGCACGATCATAGAGTTTGACTACATCACAGGCATCAAAGGTTATTTTTCCAAGTGACTCAAAGTGACCAATGATGTTCTGAGATAACTTAGCAGGAATAATGACAAACAAATTTGCCTGAATATAACATCATGTGAGCAGTCATCAAAGTCAAAGGCCAAAAACCCAAGCCCCAAAACCAAAACACTAGTAATCCATTGAAATCTGGTGCACAGAAGACTGTGGGGCAGCATAGGATGCTAACTCCAGAGGTGCCCACATAGGGTCAAAACTCCTTTCCTGTTCCCTCAGAAGATTGAGCCACAGAAAGGAAAACTCGCACTTCACCACTAAGATGCTTCTTATCATTAACCACATCTTCATTTCCTCTTCGGCTGTTCACTACAAGACTGCAGCTGTCCTAGAATCAGAATCATTAAGGTTGGAAAAGACTGTAAGATCATCTTGCCCAATCATCACCACCATGCCCACTAAGCCACGTCCCTCAGTGCCACATCTCCGGGTGTCTTAAAAACTTCCAGGGACAGTGACTCTACCACCTTTGTGGGCAGCCACAGGCAACACTACTTTTTTAGACTAGAAACAGGGAAATGGTTCAACCAGAGCCATCTTATAGGCTCTGAAAATTGTTCCTAGTGGGTAAACTGGGACATATGGCAGAGGTTTTTCTCATGCAGCCAAACAGCCAGAAGTCCTTTAGGGAAAGAGCATGGGACAGAATGGTTTCATAGCTGTATTTGAGTTTTGTATTTGTTTCAGAAAAAGAAGTTTATCTCCTGAAAACATATGGTTAATCTACAAATGACGCCATTAAAGATTTCCCTCAAAGTCTCTTGCTGTAGATGCAGGAGAAATCGGTGGGTTCTTAAGGGAGTGCTACTCATCACAGACAAAAAGCTGTCTTCAGAGGGGGTTAGCAACAGAGAAGATGTGTTGCTCTTAACTCCTCCAACACATTACAACTGATTACCTCCACTGATTCAGCCCCATTAAGGATATGAGAAAGCCAGTAGAACGCAGACATTTGCAGCTGAGGAAACTAGCAGTCATACAATCATAAAGGTTGGAAAGACTTATAAGATCATCTCATCCAACCATCAACCCATCACCACCTTGCTCACCAAGTCAATGCATAGGACCTGGAAACAAACCACATCAGAAAGAAAATACTGTGTATGAACTATTGGCATGGCAGGACTGGCTAGGCAGCTGGACACAAGGAAAACTGCTTCATTTCATGCCTGCTACCCCAAAGAACCTTTAATCTCAGTATGGGTTTTGTTGTTGTTGCTGTTTTTTTTTTTTTTTTTTTTTTTTTTTTTTTTTTTTTTTTTTTTTTTTAAATGGAAATGCACCTGTATGCCATCAGTAACCATACAAATGTGCTGCTGTTGCCTATGGGGAGAGAAAGATAACTGCCAATTGGTTAAATATTTTGCATAAATACTTATAGAAGCGTCAAAAACCTTATAACCACTTACAATTTATTGCTTTGGCACTTGAACTGTGAAAGTATCGAAGGAGGAGGAAAGGGATTAGTGAACAGTGTATTTATAGGACTGCTGCCACCCAAAGTCAAGTAAGAGTATAAATACAATCAGAATGACCACAGAGATGGGATTTCAACCAAAGACCTTCTAGGTTTAGAACAACAAATATCTTTAATCAGATATGATTAAACAGAGTGTTATTTTCTTCTTTGGATTATACCTTCCCTGCTCCTTATTATATCTTACCCTTTTTCAGTGAGCGCAATGCTTATTTCAGAGCAGAGGAATGTCTATTGGATCTATATTGCAAAGAACTGTTCATTTCAGAAAGACAGGAAAGTTCTTTCCATACACAGATTCTGTAGCAACAACAAATACGGTGTCCCAGCTCTCCATCCAACCAAGCTATGTAAGCCTCTCACCTCTCAAACCTCTCTTGTGGACAGAAGTGCTTGCAGTAACACACAATGGAGAGTGTTTGCAGCACAGAATCCTAACATGCCAAAGCCATTCAATTATTTGTGGTATTTGATCTCTGTGCAGAGCTATCCTATAATAGACATTGCTGCCTTTGAAGAATCAGCAGTAATGACTTTGAAATAAACCTTAGTGAGGCCTGGCACTCAGCTCTCAGCTGGTTTTCTGAGAGAGAAAGGAATCAATGCAAGCCAGGGAAACTCCTGGACAAAGCTGATTGTTACTGGTGGGTGCCTGTCTGTGTAAAAGCTTCTGGGTTAACTCACCACCATCATGGAAAAAAAGGAAACTTCATGGGCAGCTCTGTACAGCAGAACAGTGTTCAAAAACAAACAAACAAAAAAAAAAAAAGCAAGTTTTCAGGATGCAGTGGATATGGGAAACTTAGTATAGTCAGGGTCACATTGGAGTGGTGGCATTGCCATGTAGCCCTGACAGGAACACAGAAGAGTGGAGCAAGGGAGTTCAGCTGAGGCAGTGTTGCCTTCCCTTTCTGCAGGGCACAGTTCTTCTCAGATACTGCCATGCTAAACACATAATCCGCTCCTTATAAATATCCTTTTAAGATAAGCAACTTCATGTTGTCACATTTATATACATATATATATGTATATATGTCACACATATATACCTGTAAAGCAGTCTATAATCAGTACTGAGATCTAATAGCTACTACCAAAAATGATGAAACAATGCTCACTGTGCACAAACCATCCATCAACACCACCCATTCCCCATTGCTCCCAAAGAGGGGAGATTTGGATTGGATATAAGGAAGAAGGTGTTTGTTTTTTTACAATACAGGTGGAGAGATGCTGGCACAGGCTGACCAGAGAGGCTGTGGATGCCCCATCCCTAGATGTCACCCTAGTCAAGGTCAGGGTGGGGGGGCTCTGAGCACCTGATGTAGCTTTGGGTGTCCCTGTTCCTTGCAGAGGGATTGGACTGGATGGTCTTCAAGGGTCCCTTCCAACTCAAACAATTCTATGATTCAATTGCCACCACTCACTGTAACCAGCGTTACAACGTAACTATGAGCAATCCAAAGGATTACCAGGGCACGATACCGCTCCATCACATGCAAACCAACCATGATTCCAACAGAAGCAACACATGCACAGCACAGATAAAAGGAGACTGCGGAAAGGATATATTAATTACTCCACTTCCCTCATATGGCACTCAGATATCACCCAGGAGAGAGCTGCACAGATAAAGCAGTCATTACAACACACCGCGCACTACATCCCCAAGCACACAAGCGTCGCCGCAGGACACGTTACTTTCCTCATCTCCGCGTTCCCCGAGCACGGGGCAGCAGCGCCCATTCCATCCCTTCGCTCCCGCAGCCGCCGCTCACCTGCAGCCCTCGGGCGGAACCCTCGCACGGTGTTCCCGCGGCGGAGGTGCGGGGCGGGCGGCTCTCGGGGCGGCTCCGCAGGAGCCGCGCTGTACTGCGCGTAAAGGCGCAGCATGTGCTCCGACACCTTGTCCCCCGGCTGCAGCCCGTGGTCACCTGCTCTCGCCTTGCCGCCCCAAGCAGCCCTCCGCCGCAGCCCGGCCCAGCGTGCCCGCAGGACGTCCCCAGGAGTCAGGCACAGGCAGCCCAGGCACAGGCACAGCACCCAACGGGCCGGAGCCGCCATCGTGTACCCCGGCACCCGAGACGCGGTGTGCGGGGAGCTCAGAGCCGCGGATTGCTCTTTTCGGGGGGAGTTAAAAAAAAAAAAAAAAAAAAAAAAAAGAGAGAGAGAGAGAAAGAAAAGAAAGAAAAATGGAGAAGAAAGAAGAAAAAAAAAAAAAGCAGCGGGGTGGTAAAAAGCACCGCCTCGCAGAGCGCCTGTCCTTCCCGGTGCTGGCAGCAGTGAGGGTGTTTATTTCCCGTGGTGAGAGGTGGAGGTGTTGCTCGCTCCTCGCCCCGACTGCTGCAGGCGCACCCGGGTGAGTTTTGGTGGGGTGTGAGCGGTGCGTGTGCAGCGTGAGCGCGGCTCCTGGGGCCGCTCTGCGGCCAATCGCACCGCCTCCTCGCTTCTGGGCTCCGGCTGCGAGCGGGAGGCAAAGCAAAGGGGAAACCACCACCCAGAGAGGAAAACGTACAGGGACGGAGGTGGCTCTGGAAATGCAATCACGGCGCTGAGTGCAGCTGGGGAGTCAGCAGAGCGGGGGGGCGTTCCCTCCCACCTCCACCCAGCGCTTTCCAAAGGCGCTTATGCTTGGAATGAAACAGAAACCTCAGTCAGAGTGCACCCAACCATCTCCCCTCGAACATCTCAGCAGGTGGAAGGGGTGGTGGCCAGGTTTGCAGACCGCCTCCTGCCCTCAAGTCCCCTTTCGGTCACCAGAACCCTTCTCCAGGATCAAGTTTTGTGTGCTGCCTTTCAGCACCAAAAGGACAGAGAACTCCCACCCTGCACCACCGGCCCTCAGCTCAGGTGTGCAACGTTGATCCTTCTAAAATATGCTCTGCAACACAGATTGTCTTATCTCCTGCATCTGGTGAGGGAAAGCATAGCAGGTGGAAGAGAATCATCTCTGCCATGTCATAGTTTGTGCATATGCAGGTTCAGACAGAATCACAGAACCATTAGGGAAAAAATCTCACCAAGTCCAACTGCCAACCCATCTCCACCATGCCCACTGATCACGTCCCTCAGTGCTACATCTCCACAGTTTCTGAACACCTCCAAGGATGGTGACTGTACCACCACCCTGGGCAGCCTGTGCCAATGCCTCACCACTTTTTCTGAGATGAAATTTTTCCTCATTTCCAACCTGGACATTCCTGGGATACATGTGCTAATGGCAGAGCAGATGAGTTTGTATGCATCCATATTTGAATGCTTATAATCAAGAAATAAATGCTAGTGTTTCATTTTCAAAGATTTTTAAGGCAGCTGATTTGCCATCTGTATCTAAAATGTCTGTACCTATCTGTACTCTCACACACAATTTCAATAATGGTGTCAATAGGAAGACCAACTATACTTTTCATTTCATTTGTCTATATAAGAAATTCAGAGCAGCGCTACATAAAAATTGTGCATTTGAGCATACTTCACTAAAACAGCAAGGTTTGGTTGGGTCCTTGGACACAAATGATAAAACCAGTGCAGTTCTCTGCAGGAAGAAAACAAAATAATTTAAACTGACAGCTAAGAAATTCAGCACAAATGGCAATCTCTGGTTAGTATCTATGTCCAAACTGTGAGCCTTAAGGAAAATCTTTAGGTAACTGAAATAACTGGAAGTGATATTTCAACTTCAGCCACAGGTGAAAAATGTGATTGGAAAAAAAATACCGTCACACAAATCCAAATGAAGCCTACAGTGCCAAATAATTGGCCATAAGACTGTGACATGTTGCACAACCAACATATTTTCTGAACAGTGACCTTGGGACCGAACCACTGAAAATCAAGAAAGACTTCCGTTAGAAATACTCCAAGACAAGAGACAGCCAACTCACACTCTACTCAAACAAAGGAGGATTTGATGATAACTTACTGAGGTTCAGCATGGAAGCTCAAGCACCTCATGGCTGAGCTCATGATGCACATGTTGAGTTCCAAGCACTGCCTGCTTCATGGATTGTCCCACAGTGGTGGGACATATGGTTTTGAAGCTCCCAAAATTAAAAATAATGTCCTCAGCTCAAACTGGACATGTGATTGTAAATACCAGAGCGCTATGTCTGCACAAACCAAACTGAACCAGTATATGTAAGTAGTTACTCCTCATTAGTAAATAATGTCTGGCAAACCCTCAGACTTGACCTATGAGATAACACTGCTATGCACCTCTCCACTATTTCATTTCAGCATGCAAGTGCTGTGAATCACTTTTATTCATGTTCATTTTCACTGCCAGCATCACCAAGTGCCATGGAAACCACCCCTTCCTCAGACAGATGCGCTGTTTCCAACCAGGAGGCATGCTGTGCTTTTTAGCTTAGGTAAAACCATCTTAAAGATCAAATTCAAGGGGCTATTGAGATGATGGTCATATTCCAGATGCTTTTACAACCCTTTAATAATGTGTTTGCATGTAGTATTTATGGGACGGGAGGAGAAGTGGAAAGAAGTAATTCACAAGGGGATGGGGTCAGTGATGTAAGAGGAAGAGGATGTGCTATGACCAATGTACAGGCTGCCCGTTCTCACCCAGCACAGCTCTAAGGGCTCAGGTGATAGGACTGCAACCAGCACCACCAGCCATGGGTGTGACACTGCTGGCATGCCAATCTCAGCAGGAAAGAGGGGGAAAAGGACTCAGCAGTTAAAATAGACCAAGTGCATGAAGACTGAGACGCAACTTCCAACTTAATCTGTCTTGAAATTCTCCGTTGATGAGTGATAGCTCAATGGCTTTTTACCTCTGTACTTCTCTGGGTGGGGATACTGTTATACTTGACTTTGCATCTCTCAGTTATGCACCACTCCCAACTTACTGCAATGTAGCCCTGGGTCAGTGTTAGCTTCTAAGGTCAGTATAAGCAGACTCCAAACTTGTAAATCCACCATGCTGCCTCATGAATGCTAAAATGACCCTATAATTCAACTAATAATATCAATCTGACCATCCAGTACTTTGGAAATGTAACATTCAAAACCAGGGATTACCCTGAATAGAAAGAGCTCTCTCTTTTGAGGATGATTTAATCTTCATGACCTTCCTTGCCTGTGAGTTTCCTGCTGTGACTGAGCAGCAAGAGGTCAGCTAACTCCTGCTGCTCCAGTCTGGCTGCTGCAGAACTGGGAACTGTCCTGGTCTTAACAAGACAATGTTCCTGTTTCTCATAGCATGATGCACTAGACATGTAAGCACTCAAAGTTAAGAATGGTGCATACCTTGGAGATTAAGACATCTAACTACAGGTGCTCAGTCTAGCTGGACGTCTGTGTCCTCCCCCTCTAATCAATGTAGGGAGAGGAATAAGAAGAGCTACCTCAGCTCACCCAACAGTAGATGTTGGCCAGCCACTTTGTGTCCATGCCAACCCAAAAACACTCTTGGAGTTGTTCCGCTGTGATGTTCAGTTTTAAAGGTTGGAGCAATATTCCTGAGCTAGACCATAAACCCCCAAAGCAACCCTTCATATTCAAGGGCAGCCATGTAAATCCTTGGAAAAGAGGATCTCCAGATTAGTGCCCACTTTTGAAAAATATAGATCTTGGCACACAAATAGCAATTTCTACATCTGAAGACAGCATTTGAATTTGCTGATTGAGGGGAGAAAATCTTTCATTAATTGATGAATAGTCATCACTGCTGGTTTGCACACTTACTGGCCTTTGATGAGTTGGCAGAAGCAACACTGCTGTCCTGTCAGCCATGGTTTGTTTTCTTTCCATCAATTTTTATTGCTAAGATATGGATGTATTAAAATATTGAGATGTAGGCAATGTGAGAAAATGGTTTCCTTTAAAATGAATATTTTTGTTTAAATAAATTGTGGTTTGTTAGTTTGGATTCTGGCTACCTCCATCTGAAACTCTCCATGGGCATCTTTTCAGTTCAGTTTCTTAAATAACATTTTACAAACAGCAGTGAGGGCTATGGAAAGAACCTGTGGTTTGGTTTTCAGTAGATATTTTGACACTGGCACTGCGTCCAGAATGGAAATGTAGTTCTGCACTTTTTCATACTATACTTTGTGGCCTGAGATTTGCTCCAAGTGAAGCAGATGGATGCTCTTGCCTGGTTGCACTGATTGGCCAAGTTTCATAGGACCAATGTATTTAATAATGCAATGAAGTCAGCGTTTACTGATGCAGCACATGTATCTCCTTCTTTGACAAAAAACAAACAAACAAACAAACAAACAAACAAACAAACAAAAAAACAAAACTAATTTTTAATTGAGAGCAATTTCTTCTGCTTCCAGTTTAGCTCTTGGCTAAAAAAAATAAACTCATTAAATGTGTATCTTCCAAAAAGCAAATCTTTCTTTCTCCTTGAAAGAGACAGCTAACTTTGTTTAGGAAAGAAGAGAGTAGTAGGAAGGCCATGGTGCCGCTGTGACATTTTCATCTTTTTTATAAAAAAAGACCAGAAGAACAGGTCAGATCTGAATCTCTTCCCAGAAAAATGGGAAAGCCTAGACTCAGTTTCACTAACCATGACCTCTGAGCAGATCACCGCATACTAGAAACTCTCTACTCTCTAATAGCTGAGCTGTGCTCTTGTATAAAAAAGACAGGAGACTGCTGGGCACAGCAGTAAAAAGGCACCTCTGGTGCATCTTGTCTGACCTACCTGAGTTCTTTGGACTTGATCAGGGGATGAACTTTATCTTGACTTTAGCCAGTGTTTTGCTTGTCTCTTACTATTTTAATGTATTCAAATTAGGACAGTCCCAGCTAGGTAGGTAAAAAAACTGTTTGACGATTGGGTTCAGAGGGTTGATGTGATGGGACATGTAGCTGGAGGTCAATGATAGCTGGAGTACCACAGAAGACCTTACTCTCCTCTCAGCTTTTCAGATGCCAGCAGGACTGATCCCAGTTATGCCCAGAAGGAAACTCAGAGGAATGAAACACCTACATTTGTCTCTGAATCTCAGTCCATCCAGCCAATGGGCAGCCTGATTGGCTCTCCACGTTCCTATTGGTAAAGACAAAAGAGGTCATCTGGAAGGATTAATGATTGGGCTTCAATGTTGATGCAAAAGCAGTAGAAATGATTGGTGTGAATGAGATATAGTCTGAGCT